ACACACACACACACACACACACACACACACACACACACATTAATTTAAAAATTAAAAAAAAAAAAGATAAACAAGACTGGAACAGAAGGAAACCAGAGTCAGGATGGATGTGAGCAGGGAGGTGAGGCAGGGTGAGTGTGGATGACAGAGGAGTCCTCAGACAAGTCCTGTGGCCAAAGCAGGCAAGGGGAAAGAGCTGGAGATGAAGCCATAAGGGTCTCCAAGGGTAAGGCAGAAGACAAGCTTTTTCCTGTGGGCCCCAGAGAGCCGTGAGCAGTCTGTGAACGGCAAGGAAAGTTGTCAGAGGCAGGTCCCAGAACAACGTCCACCAGAGGGCTAGTCAGGGCTAGCGTGAATGAGGGAAGAGGTGGCAGGGAAGTAATGGCACATCCTGCCCCGGGATGCTGAGACCTCCTGGACATGAAGCCATGGCGACAGCCCTGCCACTTGATGCCCAGCATCCCAGGCAGGATCATCCTGTCACGCTCCAGCTGGGCTGGCATGGGAAGCTGCCATTCCCAGCACGGCGTCTCCCACTCAAACTTGTCCTGCCCCCTCAGAAGCTCAAAATCCACAACCAATGGTCAGGGTTGACAGCCCCAGAGCCACCCTGGAAAGAGACATAATATACGGGTGAGGAAAGTGGAGGCCCCAGAGGAGGGTGCTCACTGCTTTTACCTCACACTTGGGACCCTGGTCAAAGTCCAGAGATTGACAGAATGGCAAATGCTGGCCGAGGTGACACCCATTCTCTTAGTTCCTGGGTCATAGAAAGAGCTATCTGGCTTGTGCCCTTTCCTCAGGAGACCCTGTCCTGCCCCACCTCTTGGTATCACGGCAACAGAGGGCAGAGCCAAGGGACCATATGTACCCAGAGTCTTTCCCACAGCCTCCAGGGAGCAGAGACCCAGCAGTGACTGATGTGACCTGCGGTTTGAGAAGAGCAGAAAAGCTGTGAGACCAATGAAGCCCTGGGAAAACCACGCTGGGAAGCTTGAATTTGGGGAACAAAAATCTCGCCCATTTTCTGTCTTTTCAATAAACAATAAATCTTTTCCAAGTTTTAATTTCTTTTTACATTTATTTGGAAAAATGGGGGCACATGCATGCCATAGCGAGTGTGTGTGGGGTGTGTGTATGTGTGTGTGGGGGGGTATATGTGTGTATGCGGGGAGGTGTATTTTGTGGGGGATGTATGTGTGAGGAGGGGCATGTGTAGGGCCCAAATATAACTTGAGAAAGTGAGTTCTCTTCTTCTACCACCTGGGTCCTGGGATCAAACCCAGGTGTCATCAAGTTTAGCAGCAAGCACCCTTATCCGCTAAGCCACCTCGCTTACTCATTGTCCAAGGCATTTTGAAGCAAAATCGTGGTCTGTCAGCTGGAGCCCTGACAGAGAGAAGCTAGAAATGGGATGTTTCCCTGGGGCACGTGTTGGGAAAAGTGACTTGGGAAGCCGGTAGGGACTACATGTAGATCTGGTTCAGGCCAGGTCAGGAAAGTTGCTGCCTGAACCATGCGTGGCTGCTTTCAGACATGCCTCATCCACGAGCCCAGGGAATTCATCACACACACAAACACACACCCACACACCCCACCCCAGCCACCGCCTCCAATAGAGTCCAGGGTCAGTCCAGATAAACCACTTGCCTCAGGGCAATAAACTCCTGGACTGTGGCCATCCATTCATTAAGTGGCGATAAATAATCATCTTTGTGGAGACGCTGGAGAGTCGTGCCGACAGAGGTGGCCCCTGTCTTGAGGGCCAGAGAGCTGTCCGACATGGAGATACACACAGAGCCTGCAGCGTCCTGCTAGCTGATAGGCTCCTCACAGCTGGCTTACACAGCAAATTCTAGAATTATTACCCCCATTTCATGGATGAACGTGGTAACCTGCACCTAGGAGGAAGAGGCAGGAGATCAATCGCTTGAGCCTAGGGATTTGGGCTAGCTGGGCTTATCTCTTTAAAATGAGGAAAAGAAAGAGGAAAGAAGGAAGAGGAAGAGGAAGAGGAAAGAGAATGAGATGGAATAGGAAAGGAAGGCCCATTCTACTGCACCCACCTTAAATCCCAGCACTGGGGAGGCAGGGACAGTCAGATCTCTGAGAGTTCGAAGCCAGTCCAGGCTGCAGAAGGAGTTCCAGAAGAGCCAGAGCTACATAGTGAGACCCTGTCTTGGAAAACAAAATAATCCGAAAGGGTGTGTAGGGAGAGATAATGAGACCCCATTGCTTCATTTGCTTTATTGTTGCTTGTTTTTGTTTTGAGTCAGGGTCCCACATAGCCCATGCTGACCTCAAATTCAATATTTCCCCAGGGGTGACCTTTAACTTCTGATCTTCCTGCCTCTGCGTTCTGGGATTTTAGGAAGTGCTCAGGATCATGTGTGCTAGGCAAACACTTTGCAACCGTACCGAGTCCATCTCCAGCGTGGCTGTAGCTAAGCTGGCATTACCCCCTGGCCTCTTAAGTCTCACGTGCTCCTGAATCTGACAGAGAAACAGCCACACTGAGATGGAACCTTGGGGAAGGGAGTCCAAGGTGGCTTCCTAGAGTAGGTGGCCTGAAGGAACAAACATGGGTTGAGCAAGGTGGGGAGAAGGTCCTAGACAGGAAGAGCAGCACAGACGAAGCTCCTTTCTTCAAGGATGGAGGCTGGGCTTGGCCTCTCCTGGGTATTAAAGAAGGGAGGGGGCTGGACAAGCCTGGTAGGGTCTACAGAAACGAGCCATGAAGTCCTGAATGACATATCCAGCCCAGGCATGGGGTGGTGTTGTAGGTGGGGGACACCAGCAGCAGCTGTTACACGCACACACATGTGTACGCACACACATGTGTACACACACACATGTGAACGCACTTGCGAATGCACATACACACATACGCAGACAGCCCCAGAAAAGGAGGTTATTGCCATGCTAGAGGTCTCTGCCATTGGTGCTTTTGCTCCTGGACACTACCTGCTACCCTGAAGCTCTCCCAGGCTGGCAAGGGGAAAAGACGGGGAAAGGAATGTGCTATGAGCTAGACTTCCAACCATTGCAGGCAATTGAAGAGCAGGACCAGAAGGGTTTGCTCACACTGGGATGAGGACCAAGGCATGACAGCCCGGGGAGCTGGGACAGGAAAGTCTGGCTACACCAAGAAGGGTCCAGGAAGGGAGAGGCAGCTGTCCTGAGCTGCGGGAGGCCAGGTGGAGAAGAACATCCAATGCCAGGGATTTGAATTCAAGTGATGAAGAGCTGGTCAAGGTTGCTAAGCAAAAGAACCAGGACAGGAGCTGGCCTTGGGCTTCTGGGTAATCAGCAGCCCTTCCTGGGCCAGCGCTTCAAGCCTACAGAGACCCTCCCAGAAT